TGATCGTTGGCAGCCAACGATCATGTGTTATTTATTTGTTTTTTTTTGTAAAATATCAATTTAACCCTTAATATTTTTGTCAATTTCAAAATTATCAGAGAGTTTTTAGATATTTTAAAAATGACCATTTTTAAAATTTTTTTATTTTGGTTTGGTCCCAGGCCCGGGCCTTGGAGGAGGACCCAATCAAGGGATTAGTCCCTCGTCCCATAGGCCTGGTCCGGTTTGGGACCAAGCCCTCCTAAGACCAGGCCTTACAGGGGGGGGGAAGGGGGTGGAGAAATGACCGTTGACAGCTGATGGTCAGATGATCGTTGGCAGCCAACGATCATGTGCTGTTTATTTGTTTTTTTTTTTTTTTTTGTTTTTTTTTTGTAAAATATCAATTTAACCCTTAATATTTTTGTCAATTTCAAAATTATCAGAGAGTTTTTAGATATTTTAAAAAGGACCATTTTTAAAATTTTTTATTTTGGTTTGGTCCTAGGCCCGGGCCTTGGAGGAGGGCCCGATCAAGGGATTAGTCCCTTGTCCCATAGGCCTGGTCCGGTTTGGGACCAAGCCCTCTTAGGACCAGGCCTTACAAGGACCAGTCCTAGGACCAGTCCTTTGGGCCGGGTTTTTGGGACCAGTCCCAAATGCCCAGGTCTACCCGTTTGTCCTGCCCCTTGCCTGAAATTTTTGGGGAATGCTTGCCCCAATCAGGACAGGGCGGGGCAAGTCAAACACTCATCCGTAGGCCTCACACGTCTCTATTGGGATTCAAAGAATACCAAACAATAATCTTCGTGAAAGCTTCCGATTCTAAATTTTTAATTGATTAAACTTTAAATTAAAAAAAAAAAAAAATGCAGTCCTAAAATCTATTCCGTTGCGCGTTTTGATTGAATTGGGCAATATAACACCTAATAAGTTTTATGCTCCAGTCAATTAAAGTAGTAGTGATAGTAATATTCTACTTCATTCGTTCAAAATCAATATGCATATCTATTAAATGTTTTATACTATTTAAAAATTCAAATCAATCTCTTGATTAATATGATTTAAATAGAGAGATAATCTTATCCATATATTATATATTTCTAGTGAGATAGATTCCTTTTATTTATTTATTTTAATCTTAGGGGGTAAGATCCTAAATAGGAAAACCATCCATCAATTTGGCTGGTATAAATTCGACTGGTTTTGTCGGATATTATGGTATTATTAGATCCAGGGGGGACCCAATCAGGGGCGGACCCAGGCCTGCCCTCAACTTTTAAAAAAAATTTGAGAAGTTTTTTTAAAAGATACAAAAAAAGAAAAAAGTTAGGTTTTGCTTTTTTTATATTCAAGTTTTTCTTTCCCAATTCCCAACTTCCCTTCTCTTTTACATACGTATCTGGATTTGGAGTGATTATAATCTATATTTTTGTAAACCTTTGTGTATTTTACTTTTATTAGAGTTGTGATTGAATTCTAAATTTATGTAGAATATTTTTGGTGAATTTGTGGTTATTATAAATGATAATCTTATTTTTCCCTATGATTTTGTATTGAATTTCGATAGGATTTAGGATACTTCTCATACAAATTGAGCCATAATTGCTACTTAATTCTATTAATTTGTCTTTGTAGGCCTAAACGATGATTTTGAGTATAGATGACAGTTTTGAGCGTAAATTACGTAACTTGAGCTTGGAAACTCAGAATGACCTGATTTTAGAAGGTTTGGAAAGCTAAGAAGCAGAGCTACAACTTTCATGTTTTGGGTTTTTCCTAATTCTGACTGGACAAGGGTGAAAACTTGGCTTGAAGTCGTGAACAGTACATTGGAAACCGAAGGAAAACGTCTTTGGATGTGCTTCAGTATTTCTTCCATAACTTGAGCTGTAGACCTCGGATTGTTCTGATTCTTGAACGAGTAGAAACATAATTTAAAGGGCTACAATTTATATGTTAACACTTTTCCATGTTAAGACTCTTTCATGCTCAAATTTGGCTCGAAAGATTTTCTCCGCGGCAAGGAAAAAGCTTCGCTACGGCAAAACTGCGTCAGATGTGAAAAATAAAACGACGCGTTTTGGCTTGCTAGGGCTTGGTCCTTAAGTGAAAGAGGTATAAATTAGCACGAAAACGAAAGAAAAAGGGCCTTGGTTCGTCATTTGGAAGGCAGCTTTTAGAGGAGAAGATTATTGAAGATTTGGGCTTTAAATTAGAGAAGATTTCTCCATCTTTTGCTTGTTTTTCAATGATGAATCTTGATTCAGTTTGTTTTTGTTATTTTATTTTGTTTTTGAGTATGAACTGAGTTGTTTAGCTGAGGTTTGATGTAACCTTGATACAATGATTCAAATTTATATGAATTGATTTACTTTGAGTTTTAATTTCATGATTGAGTGTTTATCTCTTTGCTTAATAACTTTTGGATGCTTGATCACCATTCAAATGTGTGTTGTTCACAATGAGATTGAGAAATGATTTATGATTGTGCCTCTTGGGATAAATACCGTAGATTAAGCAAACACTAAAGATAGGTTTAACGATTTATGAGATATAGGTTTAGCGATTTATGAAATCTAGATAGAATTCCATAAAGCTTAAAAGACTTTGAGCTATTAATCTTCATTAAGCTTAAAAGACTTTAAACTATTAATCTTCATTTTGTTAGGTACGGCAGCTTAATAGGGATAAGTAGGAAAATATAGCCTGAGAATGTATGTTTTACAATTTAGGGAATTCGATTTTCAATCAAGGAATTAGAACTTGGATAATAGATTCTATGATTTGGATTAGCATATCTACGTGAAATCAACACCCTAGCGTTTTTTTTAGCATTTTGTTTAATTAATTAAGTTATTGGGTTTCGCTTTAATTTCATTATCATTCATTTATATTTTCTTAAACTGTATTTAGTTAGTTAATTTTCTATCAATCCAATTTATTGTTGCTTCAATTAGGACTTAAACTAGAGAAATCGGTACTTAGTAACACTATCATCGTGGGAACAATACTCTACTTATCACTTTATTACTTTTTGCGACTAGTGCACTTGCTATATTTGCATGTTTGTCAAAAATATGCATCAGTAAACTCTTTTGATTATATTGGATTTAAGTGGATCATTAGATTATATTCCCGTGGTTTTTTTATCTCTTCACATTGAAGAAGTTTTTCCACGTAACAATTTTCTTGTGTTTCCTTGTTAATTAGATGTTATTTTCTTATATTTTCACTAGTTGATTGGCAAACAGTGGCGGAGCGAGGGCCCCCCCTTAGCAAAAATCCTGGGTCTGCCACTGGACCCAACCCCTTTGGGCTTACCCTCTTATTAAAAAAAAAAAAAAAAAAAAAAAATTGCTAATACATAGCCACACAAAATTGCTATTAATATATATATTCAAACATATTCTCAAAGTTTTAAAAAATAAGAACTATTTTATATATATATATAGACATATAAAAAACTTGTTATCAACACAGTATATATATTTCAGGACCGCATCATATTAAAAGTTTAAAACTTTCTCCACTCTTCTTCACCTGTCTTTTATAATTTTATTCCCAAAATTCTTTACTCTCTCGTTCTCTCATTTTCTTTCTTATGCTATTGGCTTTTAAGACTTTTGAAGATTGAAATTGTTGTATCTTTCATTACTTAAAGTGTCACAATTAGCTTCGTTTTCTATTTTATCAATTTTAGATATGCGTATTGCTCATTTCAATTTAGTTTATTTTAGGGTTGAATTATGCTTGTTTTTTTTAGAGGTTTTTTATTATAATTTGATGGAAAAAGGCATAGATCTTGTAAGTTTGTTTTGTGTTTTGTATCTAAGAATGTTCTTGTTTTCCCAAATTAAACCTTAAATATATTTTACTGGACGTTATTCTTCAACCTTCACCCACCACTTTCTTATATTTCAAACGTCGCTGTTTAGCTGCTCAAAATTATTAAAGAAATTTGAGTTATTATATATGTTTATACCAAGAAAATTCCCTTTTTTTTTTATTAATTCATATTAAAAGTCAACATAATATTGATTTGATTTAAGTTTTGATTGACTTTAGCTTAGGCTAGGTTTAATTAAAGTCATGAAAATTTATATTATAACTCTTGGAAGCCAAAAAAAAAAATAAAAAATAATAATAATAATAATAATAAAAAGGAGAAATAAGAAATTTGTGTGGAATATTTTTTTGTGGATTGTGGTTGTTATAAACTTTTTTGATTATATTGGATTTAAGTGAATCATTATATTCTTGTAATTTTTTGTTCTCTTCACATTGAAGAGGTTTTTCCATAAAAAAAAATTTCTTGTGTTTCTTTGTGAATTGGATGTTATTTTCAACACATTTGTTCAAAGTTTTGTTTTTCATGGATTTATTCAAATAGAAAAGTATTATGTTATTATATTCTTTCCTTTTAGTTTTTGATATTGTATTATTTCTTTTGTTTAAGGTTTAATGATTTTATTAAATTTTCACTATTGTTTGACAAACAATAGTGCAGTGCGGAGGTCCCCCTAGACAAAAACCCTGTGTCCGCCACTAATTAGATCCCAATAATTTTTAAACCAACAAGATCTGTGAAAAAAAGAGAGGTTAAAATTTGGACGAGCATCATCAGATATGTCGGCAGACAGCAACACACTCTTCCTTATTGTATCAGTATCTGCTTTCATGCAGGATATTTTTAATTCACCAATAGGACTTGGGAGAAACTAGTTACTGTCTTGCTGATAGAGATATATGCATTGATTTATTGTTTATTGTGGAAATTTTTTACTACTTAATATTTATACCCCTCCTACTCTTCCATATCCCAATACAATTATTAGCCATGGAGAAATCTTCAATTCTTCGTTTCACCTTCATCTTTGCTATAATCTTTTTCCTTTTTGCTTATTCATTTTACCCTTCAAGCAAATCAGAATTCCTTGGTTCTTCACCTTGCTTCCCATGGTGCACCTCCAAGAACCGGATTTACTCCAACTTCGACTCAATTTTAGAGAACCCTGTTNTTGCATGCTTCTGCAAAGGCATTTCAAGCTGAAGGGAAAGTATCTACAGATCCTGTAGGTAGGATTACTGAAAAGAAATGCAAAGGAGGATAGATTTTTATCTATTCGTGTCTCATTCATCTTTTTGCAACTTAATTGGTGTTGTGTTTTCTGTTTGCATGTCCTCAAGCTATTGATGCACCCGGTGGCTTTTTATTTGAATGGTGACCAGTCTTTTGGGATATATTTATTGCTAGAACAAATGAGAAGCACTCTGACGCTGCTGAATCCTACATTGAGGTGGGTTTGTGAGATTTTGGGTAGAGTTTTTTTCCTTTCTTTGGGCTTAACTTCCAGAAATTTCACTCTCTTGCATGTCTTTGGTTTCGTGATTTGCCCTAATTGTTGTGGTTGGTCCCTCCATGCTAAATCAGAATGAATTACAATAATTGCAATCTGGAAAGTGAAATCTGATCCAGTCGCAGCACAGCTTTGTGGGTTTCTTGATTCAAAGAAAATAAGGTCAAGTTTGATTTTTAATAGTTAGTTTATTTTTTTCTTGCTTTTTGCTAAGGTCCCTATGATCCAGTTTTGATCGAAGCCTGGGACCATTGGGATGATCAACATGTTTCTGAAAATGATCATCCTAGAGCATTTCCAGACAATCAGGTTGCTTTTGATATCATTGATCAAAAGAAAAGATTATGTTCAGCTTACATTTGAAGCCCTTTATTATTATTATTATTTTATTAACTCTATTTCATCGCTTTGCATTGTGTGCTATGTTGTGTTTGTTTTACAACATGGGGGTAAGGATCTTGAAAGCTTTGTGCTCCTGAATTTTGACGAAGCACAGAGTCTATTAGTTCAGGTAAATAGAGATTTATTTCATTGATATTTTTTGTTCATCTGCGAATCTTTGATCTGCTTCTTAACAAAGAGCCTATTATGTTTTATATAAGTTACGGCAGCCCTAGCAGTGGCTGAATCAGCAAATGAGTTCATTTACCGCTAAACTTTGATTAAAGCGCTGAGTAAGTTCATTTACTATTAAACTTTGATTAAAGCTGGCTTTCTTGATTCAAAGAAAATGAGTCAAGTTTGATTTTTAATAGTTAGTTTATTTTGTGTATTCAATAACTTCATGGTGTATCTCCTTGAATTTATGGGACTCTTCTTATACTTCGTTTGGTCAAACTACCGTAGGGAGTGCAGCAATTTTTGGCCTTTTCTTGGGTGCTGGTAGCTTGGTACATTGTGGGAAATCTTACTAACTTTTCTCTTGCTACTATGATAAAACCAAGTTTTCTGGAGACTCCGGGTATGGATTTTGGATCTGTTTATGGCATGCAGAGAGCATTAAGTGAAGGAGACATAAAGGTCAGACTTAATTTTTGCAATGTTTTTAACCTTTCCTCTTTCCCGTATGTGCTTCTATGATTTACTCTACATGTTCGAGCAGTGGGTTTCCTAAAGCATTTGCATTTTTTGGATTTATTTTTCTACAATTATTTAAGTCACCTTAGATGGGGTAAGATGGGGAGAGTCTTTTTGCGAGACTTACTCTTCAAACGATTGATATCAAGGTTGTACACTTAGTTCTTTGAGAAAACTATGGTTGATGGCGTATTTTTCTATAAACATTGATAGTATATTAATCATGTCTCCAAAGTAACGACTGATCCAGTTAGACATCAGCAATTTAAAGCCTCTGCCAATGAATTACTTGAAAGCTAACACTGAATAGATCCTGTAGTCCAGATCAGTCAGACATCAGCAATTTAAAGCCTCTGCCAGTGAATTACTTGAAAGCTAACACTGAATAGATCCTGTAGTCCATGATTTTGGTGTTTCTGTGTATCATAAGAAGATGAAACTACCACAGGATAGACCTTTCTGTTTAAAAGGTTTTTTAATCTTTCTGCCCATGGACAGAGTCTGGTTAAATCTTTTTCCTCTGTAAATTCTAGGCCACTTATTGGCATCATTTACTCCTCATTATAGGTCTTGCTGTGGGCAACGTGGCTTATTTGTTAGCATCTTCATATTCTCCTTGCTCATATGTGTGGCATGACCCACCGAGTATTGACTTTGCATAGTAGTCTATGGACTGAAAAATGTTTAGATGTTTCTGGCCATTTCCACAGGATGGGGTTGGGTCATTGATACTGAGTTTTTATGACAGACTCTTGGTAATGGCAATATGAGCTTCATCCACTCTCCTCACGAACAGCCTGTGATGATCACCACCTACCCTACTAAGGACCGCAGGGAAAAGCTTTCCAGATACAGAAATAAAAAGACACAGGAACTTTGGCAGAAGAATCAAGGTAAGATTGATTAGTAATACTTANTTTCCCGTATGTGCTTCTATGATTTACTCTACATGTTCGAGCAGTGGGTTTCCTAAAGCATTTGCATTTTTTGGATTTATTTTTCTACAATTATTTAAGTCACCTTAGATGGGGTAAGATGGGGAGAGTCTTTTTGCGAGACTTACTCTTCAAACGATTGATATCAAGGTTGTACACTTAGTTCTTTGAGAAAACTATGGTTGATGGCGTATTTTTCTATAAACATTGATAGTATATTAATCATGTCTCCAAAGTAACGACTGATCCAGTTAGACATCAGCAATTTAAAGCCTCTGCCAATGAATTACTTGAAAGCTAACACTGAATAGATCCTGTAGTCCAGATCAGTCAGACATCAGCAATTTAAAGCCTCTGCCAGTGAATTACTTGAAAGCTAACACTGAATAGATCCTGTAGTCCATGATTTTGGTGTTTCTGTGTATCATAAGAAGATGAAACTACCACAGGATAGACCTTTCTGTTTAAAAGGTTTTTTAATCTTTCTGCCCATGGACAGAGTCTGGTTAAATCTTTTTCCTCTGTAAATTCTAGGCCACTTATTGGCATCATTTACTCCTCATTATAGGTCTTGCTGTGGGCAACGTGGCTTATTTGTTAGCATCTTCATATTCTCCTTGCTCATATGTGTGGCATGACCCACCGAGTATTGACTTTGCATAGTAGTCTATGGACTGAAAAATGTTTAGATGTTTCTGGCCATTTCCACAGGATGGGGTTGGGTCATTGATACTGAGTTTTTATGACAGACTCTTGGTAATGGCAATATGAGCTTCATCCACTCTCCTCACGAACAGCCTGTGATGATCACCACCTACCCTACTAAGGACCGCAGGGAAAAGCTTTCCAGATACAGAAATAAAAAGACACAGGAACTTTGGCAGAAGAATCAAGGTAAGATTGATTAGTAATACTTAATTCTTTTTGCTTTTTCCATTAGATTATTGTTGTTATGGCAAAAAACAAACTACAGACTCATACAATTCTATGTGAACCTTTAGCATGTGTATGCACATGTCTATTCTTAACTTAGCAACATAGATTCGCGTTGCTTATGGCAACAGACCATGGAAGACTCCTTACTAAAACTTTTTATATGTCTTTGTTCAGTATGCTTGCAGGAAGGCTCTTGCAAACTGTCAACAAAGAATTCGTGGATGGTTTGCAAAGACAGAAGAGCCAGACATGTCCAGAAGGCAATAACTCTTAACTAATTCGGTAAGAAGAAGAATATGAATGAAATAGCTAGGTCTGATGAAGTGTAATGCAAAGAATGAGTAGTAGTGAAGGCTGGCAAAGAGAATTAGTGGAAAGCCTAAAGAGGTAACGCTAAATAAACAAGACCTTTCTCCCAACTCCAACAGAAGTAGTGTCAGATAAACTGTTTGAAGAAAGGTAGCGGACCTCCTCAGCAATTTAAATTCTTTATGTTTGGTACTTGGTGTAGATTTCAAGGACACCATTTGTAAAATTCACCGCACGATGGATGATTCCAACGCAACAAAGGATGTAACTAACCCTACGATTCAGAAGTTCGCAACAAAAATTTGAAGTTCTCAAGATTCAAGAGGTCAAGATACAGAGAACACAGAAAGTTTGTACCTATGTAAAACTGTTTTACAAGTTTATGAAAGGGGAATTTATTGTAAATTTGATGAGGATGATGGAACTTCACTATGAACATTCTTACTTTCTCTCTCTATACTACCCATCNAGTGAAAATTAAAAATCAATTGAATATTTTAATAATAGTATAGTATAGATGGAGAAAAACTACAATTAAAATTTAAGAATTAGAAATTTCATTTAGTGTGAATATTTTAAACTTTACACAACCAATACGTCTATATTCATTGATTTATTATTAATAAATACGATTATGAACATTGAAATTAGATAAGAGATTAATAGATAAACAAACAAAGATAATAATAATTAAGAACAATGGCTCCGTTTGGTTGGTTTTTGGGAATACTATTATTAGTATTCCCGAAAAAGTTAAATAGTAAAATACCCAAAAACTCACAATATTATCTAATATTATTCAACTTTTTTTAAACCCCCTAAATATTTTTTTCGAAATTACAAAAACACCCCTAAACTCACATTATACCAGATTCCGGCTACCACTGTCGAAAGTTGGCCGGAATCTAGTAGGATGGCACACTACCGACTGGATTTTGCCGGTAGTGCGCCGATTTAGCCTTTTTCGACCAGATCCACGGTGGATCTAGTCGAAAAAGGCCAGATCTAAGGCCAAAGATCTGGCCGTTGACGACCAGATCTTTGGCCGTAACCAGACGTCGTCGTTGACCATCAACGACGGTCGTATCTTTGGTCGTCGTTGACGAGCAAATGCGGCCAGATCTAGCTGTCAATGGCCAGATCTAGCCGTAGATCTGGCCGAAAAATGCCATATCGACACACGATCGGCAAGATCCAGCCGGTCATGCATCGATACAGCGACTCCGGCCACCCTCCGGCAGTGGTGGCCGGCTTTCTGTATTTGGTGGGTGAGTTGGAGATGTTTTTGTTAACTTTTAATGTTTTATTATAGAGGTTTTTTTGTAAAAAAACAAACATAGAGGGTATTTTATTAATTTATAAATCCTACATCGTAATACTCGCCTAATTCAACTTTTTTTTAACTTTTTTCAAAAACTTTTTCCCAAAAACGTAAAAATGTGAACCAAACGGAGCCAATTATATTATATTCAATTTAATTTTGAAACTTAAAACCTTTATTTAATATATGAAATAATTATAAATTTATGTGACGAAAAATACTATGAATATATCTTTTAATTTTGTATATAGATTATTTTTGTAAACTTTTTTTTTCTTAAATTTATCATGTTATGAGGTTAATCCCATAGAAGAAAAATTCTAGGTTATGGAACCATGTTACTTTGCATAAGACTAGAGGCGGGCAAAGGCCCAGTCCCAAAACCCGGTCCTAGGAGGCCTAGTCCCAAAACGGGACCAGACCTAAGGAGGAGGGCCCGGGCCCTCCACTGGGCCCTCCTCCGTCCCAGGCCTGAGCCCAATTTTTTTTTATTTTTCAATATAACCCCTGTTAAATTACCTAAAACCCCCTATCATTTTTAAATAAACATAAAATACAAGGGCTAAAATGAAATTTGACAAAATTTATTAAAAAAAAAAAATTAAAATAACCGTTGGCCTGCAGCAGCCAACGGTAATGTTTAAACTTATAACCGTTGGCTGGCAACGGTCACAGCCAACGGTTATAAGTTTAATATAAATTAAAACTTTTTTTTTTTCATTTTCCCCCCCACAACTACACTATAAATAACCCGAAAATCTTTCATTTTTTCCACACCAATCAATCTCTTATTCTCTCAACCTCTCTACTCCAAATCTCCAATCAATTTCTCATTTTAATTATTTCTCATTCAATTTGTATTTATATTTATAATTTATTCATATTATTTATTCAATTATTTATATTATTCAATTTTTTTCTATTTTTTCAATATCATCATAATTTCATATTATTATTTAATTTCTTTTCATTTTAATTATTTATTATTTTATCATAAATTTATAATGACTTCCCCAAATAAATTTTACATTCAATACAACGAAGAAATAGAAAACTTCAATCCATTTTCACCATTTCCTCCAGAGGATGCAGCTGTAATTCCACAATCACATTTGGTCGGGACGAGGTGTAGCCAAACACATGCGAGCTGCGAGTCAACGGGCACGGGCATAGCCCAACCCCCCCGACTGTCAAAGAGGATTGTGTCCGATGTATGGCGATACTTCACCAAATCAAAACGGCAAAAGACAAATGAGGAGGAAGAATCGTGTGAGATATGTAATTTTTGTGAAACCATTATTAGCGTTGAGAAGGGGACTTCGACAATGCGACGACACGTGGAGAAGAAGCATCCCCAAATAATGCAGTTGCCCGATGCATCTTCAAGCAGATCAAGTAAACAAATTTAAACTCAACTTAATTTTAATCCACAATCCACAATCCTCAACTCTCTCAACATGGCAATATAATGCACATGTTGCACGAAAGGAAATAGTAAGATATATAGTTGTTATAGACTCTCCCATTTGTTTATCTGAAAATCTTTTTTTTATTCATATGGTTAAAACTGCATTTTTTCCAGCATATACCGCTGTTAGTAGAAGTATAATAGAAGAGATATACTAAAACTTTATAACAAAATAAATAATAAACTTAAAAACGAATTTCAAAATTTTAGGAATATATCTATTGCACTTACATCAGGCATATGGGCTTGTAGATCAAAAATCGATTTTTTAACTATCACAATGCATTTCTTAGATCATAATTGGGGTTTATAACAAAAATTGTAACATCTGCTAAACTCCTTATTCAGGAATAAATACATAGCAATGATTGTGTTAAATCGGTAATTTCCTGCATTTATTCAATTTGCTTAACTAATTTCACTTGTTCTTTTTATACTTAGTCAAGCCTATCAGTGAGTAACCTAATGTAAAGCATCTAAGTAAAGTAAATGAACCATTTGATTAAAACCAGTTAACAACAGCTTCTCCATTTCAATAAATTCATACTATTACTCAAAACAAATGTATAGTGAATAAATAACTTTAGAAACGATAAAGCTCACCTCAAGAACTCAGAATTATAAATGAAATGCCATGTGCATGCACAAAATGCTCCACCAAGCAGGGGTACAAAGTGTGCGCTCTATAGAAAGTTGTAAATATAAATGAGTCAGCACTTACTGTGTAAATAAATCAGAACCTACAAGCCAATCTGAAAGGCTAATACCTAAAAGATATAAGACATTCAAAGACAAGTACTGTCCCCCATTAAAGTAAGAAGGAAACTAGAATCAGTATCATTCCAACTATTTCCAAGAAGACTGCAACATAAAGGGGCAACAGGATTTTATACAGTCATAATCATCCTATTATGGTTTGTGTATCAGTTGCTTTGGTCCATTTATTTTCTCATTGAAGTTGGAACGAGTTTTACGATCCTTATAACTAGGTCAAGTCTATTTAGACTTGTGTTGTGTGGAGTTTAGTATTTAGAATTTGTAAGTTTAGGCTATAAACCAAATTTGTGGGGGGACTACATTTCACAATGTATTGACTTAATTATAAATAGTAAACCTATCCCTTAAAATCATATTAAAGCAAACTAGAACAGTCCTAGTTTGATTACTTATGCTTCTAATTTAGCGAAGTAATTGAAGAAAATATTTCATAGGTCTTTAGAATTTTGAATAAACACAAAATTCATCTATGAAACATGTTTACCGAGCATAAACCAATTAATAATGCATTCTAAAATTTTAGGTTAGTCATACAAGGAATGTAATGTAACTAGCAAAGATTGAGAAAAGGAACTCACCATTCCCCATGAAAGAACTTTCCATGCTTCATACCCAGATTTCTCTCCATATTGCCACACTAAAGCCATTGCGGTAATCATTTTGAACAGAAAATTTAGAGTCAATTATGCTTCTTCTTTTTTTTGGTTGAAATGGTTGAAGAACTCAAAAGTCAAACCCCAAAATATACTGAATGTTAATTATCGGTATAAAGAGAAAATTCATACAACTGTACAACACAACAAAGTTATAATAATGAATCTATATATCTAAGTTGTGGTTAGCATTTCATTTTCCAAGTAAAACCTAGAGAAAACACACACAAACATGCCTAGGAGATACCTGCTTTCTATCAAATTTTCACTCATCAAACTTAGCATTAACGAGAAAAAATAAAACACAATTGTTATAATAGCCACAATTGTGAGAGACGAAAACCCTCACCATTCAACAACACTGGAGACATGCACGGCCCAGGTGGGCAAGGACAAGACATTGGATGGTTCACTCAGTTGCAAAGATGAGGCCAACAACGGCAATTCAGCAGCTGAGGTAGGTCCCACTCCCACCACTGTGAGGGCCAAAGCAGCTCCAACTGGACCAATAACAACCTTTTTATTGTCAAGAATTATGACATTTTTTATGGGTCTTGGAGCTTGAGTTTTAGACAAGTCAGAAATAGCCACTGGTCTCTTGAAGGCTTCAAGAAGATCCTTTTCGCTGGAATAAACTCCAATTGCAGACATCAGAAACCCTAATTCCGGAGCATAGTACCTACAAATAGATTAAATAATAGAATCATAAGCATAATATTGTAAAACTTACTTCATCATGTAGCAAATTACTATCATATGAAATTTGTCATCTAAACCATTTGGTTTCAATGTCAATCATTTAAAAGTTGCAAAAAGTTTCTCAAGTAGCAAAAATTCCATATCATAATGGAAGCAACTAAACTAATCACAAGAGTGTTTTAAATAAACAATGCTACTACATCAATTTGTTGCATTTTTTAAACCATTTTCTAACAACCCTCATCGCAACTCAGGACCAGAGCTTTCTCCTCATTTGGATATTAAAACAAAACAATAGGAAATATCTCATCAAGACAAAACAGGTCAGATACCAGCGGCTAAAAACTAGAACCCAATTAAAGTTAAGAACTGGAACAATTTCACTCTCCCCATAAAATTTATTATCACTTAAACAGATATAAAGGTTTTTGTTTCAAATCGGTCCCAAGTTTCACCACAATCTTCTTTACTCCCCATGTCTGAAAATCAATTTTTTCAGCAGAACTACCATTGATGTCACCTCACACAGCTCCATTCCCATAATTTCTTTAAAATGGATGTTTAATGGGCCAGTAGAAAACAGGTCACACCTGTTTTTCCTTCTTGTCACCATTGATCTCTTACAATTGCACTGAAAACAAATTGCACTCTAAAAGTATTAAAATTTTAACAAAAAACTGATGACGTAAGTTGATTAAAATTTATCTACAAACTATTACCAAATTATACAAACACGACACAAGAAATTTAACATCAGTATGCATACATAAATAACGTAAAATCATAAATCAAAAGTACCTTATCAAAAGAACCCGAAAACTTCTCCGACATAGATTTGTTCACCAAATGTCTTGAGCTCCTAATTTATACTTCAAATAATAAAAAAGAAAAACAAAATATACCCAAATCAATATCAAAGCTAATATAAATACAAATGATACTGAATTGAAGTTTAAAGCTTATACCCAGAAATCATAAGAGCAATATCATTAAAATTACAATTGAGATATGAATTAAACAATTAAAAAAAAAAAAAAAAGACCTGAAAAAGATGAGTGTGAGAGGTTTCAAGGGAAGAGTGGAATGTTATGGTTTGGAATTGTAAAGGAGAAAATTGTCGCATTCAAATGCAAGCGTTGAAGTTGAAACATGTTTAAGTTTAGGTTCATCTTCGCATTCAAATGCAAGCGTTGAAGTCGACTGCCGACAATATATGGGTGGATGGGAGGCAAAGTTTTTATTTATTTATAAATTTTTTTTGGTGAAGTGTTTAGTTAAATTTATAAAGTAAGAAGTTAAAATAATAAATATAGCTATTCAGAATTGTAGCCAAAACTTTCTCAAAATCCTATTATACTTTTAAAAAATGCTATTCTAAAAAATTTACCAAACAGACCTGTTGTCGGGTGTGTTTTACCCTTTTTAAGATCAGTTAATATCTAATTCATCCACTTTAATATAAAAATATAAATACACCCACATCCTTAGTGATATTTCAAACTTTCATCCAATTTTAAAATTAAAAATCTATTTTACCCCCTCATATTACTTACCAACTTGATAAATTTCTTAAATTTTTCACTCAATTATAAATATCAAAATATACCAAATCAACCTTAAACTTAGGGGTGAGCAGTTTCCGATACCCTTTAATTTTCGAAGAATCAAAACCGAAACCGCATAGTGCAGGTTCCTAGAAAAGGAAATCGAAACTAGAATTTGTCAGTTTTGGTTTTTAAATTCAAGGAACCGAAACCTGAAATATAGGTTCTGGTTCCTTACGTGGGTACATTGTAAAAAATTGTTATCCCACTATTAGTTTAAAAAATGACAAAAATACTTTAAAAGTTTATAAATATACCCCTAACAAATTAAAAAAACCTGCATTTAGTAGTTTTCACTTTTGATTACTTATTCATTTATGTCCAATGTGACTCATAAATATTGTACTAAATTTCTAATCATTTAATTAAGTAATATACCAATATAATAAATCACTGTTATAAATTTATAATTAATTAAATAATCATTTAACTATAATGTAATGTTATGATTAATTAAGTAATCATTTAACTATAATGTAATGTTATGATTAATTAAATAATTATACTATAAATCTATAATCTAATGTTATAATTAATTAAATTTCTAATCATTTAATTAAACATTGTACTAATGTAATAAATTACTAATGTTTATAATATAATGTTATAATTAATTAATTAATTAATCATTTACTTATGTAATGTTATAATTAATTAAGTAATCATACAATAAATTTATAATATAATATCATAATTAATTAAATTTCTAATCATTTAATTAAGTAATGCACTAAATTTTTAATGTAATAGATTACTAATATTTATAATTTAATGTTATAATTAATTAAGTAATCATTTAACTATTAATATACTAATGTTTGTCCTTTTATCATATATAATTAACTAATTACTAATTTACTATAGATATATTTAGAACTTGAAGTAAATAATTAAATATTATATTATTATTCAATCAAATATACTATTTTGTCCAAAAATAATTTTTTTTAATAACATTAAATCACTTTTAATTGGATTTTAATTTCAATTATACACTTAATTAATCAAATAATTAACCAAAACTTTAATATTATAATATATTAAAGTTTTTTATATATAAAATTTTTAATATATTATTATATATATATAGTGAAGTATATATTACTATATATGTGTATATATTTAATTAGGTTATTATAATATATTAAAGTTTTTTATATGGTGTAGTTTATATGTATAATTGTATATATAATTTTAATTAGGTTATTGTCAAAATTTAATTTTTTCCATTTTTAATTTTTTTTTATTTAAAATTACGGTAGACCCCCCATTCTTCATAGTTATTTTTTCAGTCGATGTTCTAAAACAAGTTACAATCTAGGTACCCGCCCTCAGTTCTAAGTAGGTTCCAAACCGAGTACTCGCCCTCGGTTTTAAACAGATTCCAAACCGAGTACTCGCCCTTGGTTCTAAGCAGGTTCCAAATCGGGTACCTGTTTTAAGTTCTTTTCCCAAGTTCGGGTTCTGATTCCTCCACATATAGGAACCAGAATCGCACAGTGTTGGTTTTAAAAAAATGGAATCGGAACCTACCCACATATTATCGGTTCCAATTCTGGTTCTACTCGCTATCCATGCTCACCCCTCCTTGAACTTACAATTATGCTATCCCAAGTAAGGTTACACATTTAGTTGATTTTTAGATATAATAAAACATATCATAATTGTGTTTTTAAAGAGATAAAATGGCTAAATAATAAATGATAATTATAAGAAATGAGATTAGTATGAATGAAATAATTTAAACATGATTAAATAAATAATAGATGTTGAAATATTGCTTTATCAACTTTAGAAATAATTATATTTTAGTTAAGACATTAAAAATTTATTAAAGCTAGCCATTTAAAAAAAAAGGACATAACTAGATAGTCTGCAATAATTATTTAAAAATTATAAAGTGTTTAATAAATCCTGAAAATTAGTTGAGATGTGTGAAAAACTAGTCCGGACACCCCGATTATAGAAAAAAAAAAAATTATTTAAGACAAATTTTATTGTAGTCAAACATTTTGAAATTTGTATTATGAGACAAACAAAGACTAGATCTTTTATAAAACCTTTAAATAATTTTAGTTTGAGACAAAATAAAAATGCTGGTATTTTAGTTAATTTTTTTTTTTTTTGGGATTAATAAAAAGAAGGAATAAAAAAAAATATTGTTTAAGTTGGTAAGTAATGGAAAGGGGTAAAGTAGACTTTTAATTTTGAAACAATTAAATCATCTATATATATATTAAAATCATTTAAAAAATTTCGTTTTGAAATATCTTCTCATTATCTCTTCTAAATTTGTGTTCTATTTATGATAAAAATGTCTTTTGGATGATACAAAATCAAACTTTCACATCATCAACATTAAACTTTCATAACTACCTCTAAATAGCTTGACGGTTTGTTTGAGACTTTTGAGTATATTACTTAAAAGGTATGCGCAAACTAGTCTGGTCAGATACTCATAGATACCAAAAAAGAATATATAAACTTTCAATTTTGTTCTTTTTTTTTTTATAAACATCTGTTTTTGGATTAATTTTCTAATTTAAAAAATAATGAGAGAGATTATCGTTGATTTAATTTTTTTTTTTTTTTTATTCAAGTTTGTATATATTGCATAAGAAGATGTAAATACGCTTTGACGGTTAAGCATAATATTTGAAATTTAAAAATTGGGTGGAACATGATGGTTCCGAAATTAGGGATGGGAAATAGTGTGATGTAGCCCCCAACGTTGGTGAGAAATTATACACCTTGTATGGTTCTTTTAAAGTATATAAACACATATAATCGGTACCCTGATCATGGTTTTTGAAAGTATGCTTAACAAGTTCATTAAACATTGCGGAATGGGTCTGACTGTGTTCGTTTATGCTTGGAAGGATAATCAATCAACATCAACATACTATGAAGCATTCAAAACGTAATGTAAAGCACACCAAGGATTTTACATGGTTAAGCTAAAAACAATTTTAGCCTAAATCCATGCGATCAATTCCAGCTCAATCAAATCTACTAGCATCAAGCAAAATTTCAATACAAGGTAAAAATTAAATACATCAAAAAGTAAACACTCCCTATTTATAAAATTTAACTGCGCCCTCTTGATTGAACAAACGCCCAGTTGTGATCTAATTGGATCCAAGCTACCTTTTGGATGGCACAAGCTCCACTTGAACTTGGACAATTGAAATCACCTTTTAGCTCGCGAGCTTGAACTTTCTTCAATCTTCAACGATAGAACCACGTTCAACAAAACTCATCAAGAAGATAAAGGATCGTTAAGATAAATGAGAAATAAACAATAAAAGGAACCTTACTAAAAGAATAAACTCTGTAAAAATTTAGAGAACAGAACGATGGAAACTTTCAGGTTAAAAGAGTAAGGAAGAAGAATATGAGTTTATATATTCCTTGCTCAACAAATCTCAATAGTACACATAGCTTTCACTTTTTAACAAACTCAATCACCTTTTAGCAAACCCATAATGCCACCTGTAAAGTGACCTTTCATGCAAGTTTCATGAATGAGAAATGAAATATCTAAACCAGTGAAGTAAGAGAGAGACACAAGTACGCTGAAACACGGTTAATAAAATGTATACACATCAAAAACAATGTGCACAGATATTTGTTCAATACGATCATATGAACAACGGAATGTGTACGCATATAACAATATGTTAAAGCATGTGCAGACAACAAACATGGTTGTGCTTAATCCAGTAAAAGTGCAGACATCTATTAAAGTAGGTGTCCTAAAGCCAATCAATTATTGTAAAATTGACTTTGTAATAAATGCTTATTTATCAATAAAAGACATCTTCTTCTATATCGTGTAAATCATAGTCATATGTAATGATATATATCCTTAGGTTGGTAGGACCGTGACGAGGTATCAAGTGTTTCAAATCTTGATAGTGAGAACCCTATGATCACATATGATAACCATTCTAGAAACATCCGTAGCCTTAGTATTATTCTAACCAAGGACTCAGATAATACGATAAGACTATCATAGTGTTGAACGACCCTATCGAAAGGTAGTGACTGATCTCACTTGTCAAGGTTGTTGGCACTGATCTCACTTGTCAAGGTTGTTGGCACTGATCTCACTTGTCAAGGTTGTTTGCCAACAACCTAGTGCAACGCATGGGTGCTTGCTAGAGGCAAGTTCACTAGATAGACCCACCAGAGGATTCCATATGGATGGTAACCCAAGTGTCTATGGAATAAAATCTCTAATGGATGGTGATGCATGTGATCCTTAGACTTGAGATCACTGGAGCACCTTGTGCACCAATTGGTGTAGTTTGACACTAGCCTAACACAGTTCTATTCAAAGCTATCAATACTGTAGTGATTGGCTACATTGAGAAGTGTATCGAGACTATGGTGGATCGACAAAGGATTCATCACTCCTAGGTACAGGAGAAGTTATCTTACTGGGTAATTCAGTAAATGGCAATGACACTAAATCTGTGGCCACAATGGCATTGAGTTGTTGCTCAATCTAATTTATTATTCCGGTTATTGGTCCAG